TGCTCAGTTCAGAGTAGGATTGCTGCCTCTGCTCTTGTTGGTGCAAGCTGCAGGCCAAATATTAGTGAACAGTGGAACCCCAAACATTAGTAAACAGTGGAACCCCTAAACATTAGTGAACAGTGGAATCCGCAAACCTAAATCTAGGTGTCCAGACTGTTGCTACAGAGTCCATAGATCCAGAAGTGGTGGTTTTAACATTTTGATGCTTGCCAAATTTGATTGTTTTTTTTATTTTAATCTGTTTCAGGGTGGCATTTTTTTTGGTGTTTAGACAGCATTAACTTTCAGCCGAATTTTTTACTGCAACATGACTAACCTCAGACCTTCCTGAAGAAAAAAAGTATTGGCTGTGTAGGAACATATAATATGTCTTAACTAGCTGTGCTCTGCCACGCGTTGCTGCGGCTCCGAATGGTGAAATGGAAAACAAAGAAAGTAGCTTTCAACTAACAGTGTCTGTCATAACCCTCAACCCCTGTCCCTCTCCCCTCCACCCAGTCATATCTCCCTCTCCGAAGGAATAAAAAATCATCACTTGGCGAAATTATTAAAATAGAAATAGTTAAGAATTGATAACTTTAAAATAATGTTTTAAGCTCTCTCAGTTAACAGTGTCTGCCATCAACACCCCTCCCCCCACTAATCATATCATCCTCGCCGAAGGATGGGAAAGTCATCATCTGACGAAATATTGTAACTGAACTGAGCTTTGCATCTGTGTCCACCCAGAGACAGATGGATAGCATTAATGTGTAATGAGAAGTAAATGTGGCTAGTGTAACAGCTACGACATCACCCATCCAGTACCAGTACTACTGCTACCACTACCACCACCACGCTCAGAACAAAACAAAAAAACAGTCACTACTGTCTGTGCAGGTCGGTGTAGCCGGAGGGGTTAGCGCTGCATGATGTTGCCACGGACTGTTTAGTGTAATTGAGCTCCCAACAAAGAAATAGAAAAAAAAACCCACCGTAATAGTCCACTCTATACTCACAAATAGCAGAAATAAAAAACCCCACCCATCATCTCCCCTCTCCGAAGGGACGAATGTTAAATGACCTTGGCATCCGTGTCCACCCAAAGTAAACTGGACTGTAAGCAGTCTTAGTTAACAGCTTCTGTCATCTACGAATAGTTTACTATCGAGTGAAGCGTCGCGGGGAGGATAAATGGGACTTTACTGAAATCGGATGTCTTTGGGCGAAAGGTGCAGATATCGCAACCTAGCTGTAAATCACAACACAACATGTAAATAGCCCTCTTGAGGGAATAAGAAAAATTAGCACCCAGTGGGTAATTGAACACCGGTCAACCACGTGAAGGGCGGAATACGTACAAATATACTACCTAAGACTGAAGAGATTGGGTCCGATATTGCAGCCTAGCTGTACACCACAAAACAACGGTCTAACCGCCTTCTCAAAGGCGAACGAAGAATACCAGTGACATGACCAACATCTTGTCGCCGCTATCGCAGGCAAGCTGTAAACCCCTAAATCGAGCGGAAAGAAGACGTAGATATCGCAGCCTAGCTGTAAACCACAACAGGCGCTAGGCGCTTAGTTAAGGGAAAAAAAAAATTTATCACCTAGCGGGGCAATGATCGCTAGTCACCCACGAAACACGCAAAATGGACAACTACGCTACCAAAGACTCGAGCATCTGCCCAATTATATCTCCCTCTCCGAATGATTGAAACATTATTATGTTGCGACATTGTTAAAATAGAAATAGTTAAGAAATGAGAAATGTAAAAAAATGTTTTAAGCTCTCTCAGTTAACAGTGTCTGGCATCAACCCCTCCTCGATATCCCCCCCCCCCCACCCCGACACCCCCCGTGACAATCATATCATCCATCATCCTCTACGAAGTATGGGAAAGTCATCGCCTGAAGAAATATTGTTGTTAAATTGAGCTTGGCATCCATGTCCACCCAGAAAAAAATGGGTAGCATTAATCTGTACTAAGAAGTAAATGTGGCCAGTGTAACAGCTACCACATAACCCATCAAGTACCAGTACTACTGCTACCACTGCCATCACCACCGTCACAACAACAACAACACAAAATGGTAAATACTGTCTGTACAGGTCGTCGTAGCCAGAGGAGTTGACGCTGCATGCTGTCCCCACGGACTGGTTAGTTTAAGTGTGTCCCTGACATAAAACTCCATCACCTAACCAGTGATGGAACCCACAGTAAAATTCCGTGATATAAAAAAAATGTACACTATACTCACAAATAGCGGAAATAAAAACCCGCACTCATCATCTCTCCCTTTCCGAAGTGACGATGTTAAATTAACCTTGGCATCTGTGTCGACCAAGACCAAACTGGACCGTAAGCCTTCTTAGTTAACAGTTTCTGTCATTAACGAATAGTTTTTGATCGAGTGTAGCGTCGGGGGGGGGGGGGGGGGGGGGGGGGGGGGTTGCAACTTAGCTTTAAACCACAACACAACCTGCCAATCGCCCCTTTAGGGTAAAAAGAAAAATTAGGACCCAGCGGAAAATCAAACACCTGTTATACACGTGAAGGGCGGGTTACTCACAACTCAACTACTGAAGACTGAAGACTTTAGGTCAGATATCGAAGCCTAGCTGTAAACCACAACACAATGTGACAACCGCCCTCTCAAAAATTATATCACCCAGCGGGAATCAAACCCCTATCACCCGAGTAAAAAAAACGAAAAGCTTACAACTAACTACACTACTGAATACTCAAGCATTTAGTAGAAATGAAAGTATATAATAATAATGTGAAGATCGGTGTTGCACAGTCAAAGGTGGCGAATTCATTAAAAATAAATCCGAGCAGCCAACGAAACAAATAATGATTTGACCATTGTTGGAGGTACGCCGTTCGTTGCATTATCAATCTTAATATCAAGACTATTGTCACTGTCTTTTAGAGATTCATCATCCGCATATCAACAGATCTAGACCTTTTCTCTTATCATTTGGTCTGGAAAAAATCACATACAAATTTGTGTCACATGGAATTAATTAAAAACAAATCAGAAAGTAATCCAGTCACCACACCATGTGTCAAAAATGAAAAGACTTTGTTTTGCTAATTCTAATTTTTCAGAACAGGTTCAAACAACCTGATTTTCCCAGCAAAGGAAACAATATTAGAATATCTCTATGAAGAGCCACTAAAGTGGCATTGCGTCCGAACATGATGGATTCAAGAGCCACTAAAGTGGCATTGCGTCCGAACATGATGGATTCAAGAGCCACTAAAGTGGCATTGCGTCCGAACATGATGGATTCAAGAGCCACTAAAGTGGCATTGCGTCCGAACATGATGGATTCAAGAGCCACTAAAGTGGCATTACATCCGAACATGATGGATTCAAGAGCCACTAAAGTGGCATTACATCCGAACATGATGGATTCAAGAGCCACTAAAGTGGCATTACATCCGAACATGATGGATTCAAGAGCCACTAAAGTGGCATTACATCCGAACATGATGGATTCAAGAGCCACTAAAGTGGCATTACATCCGAACATGATGGATTCAAGAGCCACTAAAGTGGCATTACATCCGAACATGATGGATTCAAGAGCCACTAAAGTGGCATTACATCCGAACATGATGGATTCAAGAGCCACTAAAGTGGCATTACATCCGAACATGATGGATTCAAGAGCCACTAAAGTGGCATTACATCCGAACATGATGGATTCAAGAGCCACTAAAGTGGCATTACATCCGAACATGATGGATTCAAGAGCCACTAAAGTGGCATTACATCCGAACATGATGGATTCAAGAGCCACTAAAGTGGCATTACATCCGAACATGATGGATTCAAGAGCCACTAAAGTGGCATTACATCCGAACATGATGGATTCAAGAGCCACTAAAGTGGCATTACATCCGAACATGATGGATTCAAGAGCCACTAAAGTGGCATTACATCCGAACATGATGGATTCAAGAGCCACTAAAGTGGCATTACATCCGAACATGATGGATTCAAGAGCCACTAAAGTGGCATTACATCCGAACATGATGGATTCAAGAGCCACTAAAGTGGCATTACATCCGAACATGATGGATTCAAGAGCCACTAAAGTGGCATTACATCCGAACATGATGGATTCAAGAGCCACTAAAGTGGCATTACATCCGAACATGATGGATTCAAGAGCCACTAAAGTGGCATTACATCCGAACATGATGGATTCAAGAGCCACTAAAGTGGCATTACATCCGAACATGATGGATTCAAGAGCCACTAAAGTGGCATTACATCCGAACATGATGGATTCAAGAGCCACTAAAGTGGCATTACATCCGAACATGATGGATTCAAGAGCCACTAAAGTGGCATTACATCCGAACATGATGGATTCAAGAGCCACTAAAGTGGCATTACATCCGAACATGATGGATTCAAGAGCCACTAAAGTGGCATTACATCCGAACATGATGGATTCAAGAGCCACTAAAGTGGCATTACATCCGAACATGATGGATTCAAGAGCCACTAAAGTGGCATTACATCCGAACATGATGGATTCAAGAGCCACTAAAGTGGCATTACATCCGAACATGATGGATTCAAGAGCCACTAAAGTGGCATTACATCCGAACATGATGGATTCAAGAGCCACTAAAGTGGCATTACATCCGAACATGATGGATTCAAGAGCCACTAAAGTGGCATTACATCCGAACATGATGGATTCAAGAGCCACTAAAGTGGCATTACATCCGAACATGATGGATTCAAGAGCCACTAAAGTGGCATTACATCCGAACATGATGGATTCAAGAGCCACTAAAGTGGCATTACATCCGAACATGATGGATTCAAGAGCCACTAAAGTGGCATTACATCCGAACATGATGGATTCAAGAGCCACTAAAGTGGCATTACATCCGAACATGATGGATTCAAGAGCCACTAAAGTGGCATTACATCCGAACATGATGGATTCAAGAGCCACTAAAGTGGCATTACATCCGAACATGATGGATTCAAGAGCCACTAAAGTGGCATTCATCATTAAAGAGTTAAAGACTATCTAAGGACATGGTGTCACATATTTGTGTACAATTGCAAATGTTTTTTTTTGTTTTTTTAGCATAGAATGTGATTGTTCGGTTATAACCATCTTTCTATTCTAGTCTTTGCTATATCCGTTACCTGTGTCTTTGCTCACTGTTGTCATCAATGTTTTGACCAGAGTCTTAATCAACAAAATACTAAATACAGCACAAACTATGTGACTAGAAAGCTCAGTGTTTTGTAAAATAGTCCTTCTTGTTGTTATTTTCTCCTATTACATATTCCTTAGTTTCATGTTGACTTTTATTGTTTAGAAACTTTGTTGTTTTGTCTTTTGAGTTTTCCAGTCACAGTTTGTGTTTTATTTAGAACTCTATTGATAAAGACTTTGGTCATAATGTTTGGCTGTATTTGTGCTCACCTTTTCTATTCCTTCCATTAAGCTTTCTGTCACATTTGATGTTGTATTTAGTAGGGCTGTACCGAATTTTTGCTTTGTATTCACTTCAGGGCCGAATAGTAGACTTAATAACTATTCGGTATTCAGCCAAATACTTGCAGTCGGGCCGAATAGGAATGGTGGTTACCTTTCACCCATTTTGCATACACTGTGATGGACTGAAATAATTCTCTCAATAACACAATCTGGTAATCTGGTAATCTTAGTTTGAGCTTCATAGCAAACGGGTCACCCCATAGTTGCTCCGATCCTGTGCCAACGAAAAACACACGTAGCTTACAGTGTCACGCCATGCACTCAACTCAGAAGCTGGGCGACGAAACTATATCCTTCCAGTCTACAAATGGAGCAAAAATGCAACGGCCACCGTCTGGCAGGAAAAAGAAAAAAAAAGGTGGCCGTGCCTAGCGTCTATTTTGACCTGAAGCATTTTATGAGGGTTAATAAACGGTCACCCCAGCAGTACCCTCATTATTAGCTGGGGAAGGGACTTAGGACATTACATCCACCAGCAGGCGCCGCCTCTACGACGACCTGCCTGCCTTTGTTAACGACTGTTCACCCAACAGCCATGCAGTTCTTTGGCACGAAGGAAACACCTTGAACTTGGGTTTCGGACTGCCGACTCCCTACAAGATGTTATTTTATGTTTTGTTATCACACTTGATATCACTGCACATTGGGCATACCCATGTGTGATCAGTTCTCCGAAGCAGCAGCCACTCCAAAGTACTTCTACTAATTGTCCCCATGAGAAGCTGGTTATATCGTCTCCCTTCTCGGCCCCGAAGACGGCCCCGAAGACGCAATCGTGTTAGTGTCAGGGATTCCTCCTTCTCCACTAGCCCAGTTCGTACAGCGTTGACGATATCTGCTCTGCCCATGCTTTTTCCTGCAATCATTAGTGCAGTGCTTGCCAGTTGGTCCGCTCGCTCATTTCCCTTTATGCCCGCGTGACCTGGTGTGTAGATCCAGGTTACGGAGGTTAAGTGCGATTTCCGAATGCTTTCTATCCATTCAGAGCTCATACTGCCTGTTGCTATCTTCTGAAGCATATTCATTGAGTCTGAGACAATTACTACCTGTGTGGCGGTTTGCTCGGATACCCACGCTAAAGCTCTAGAAGCAGCAGCTATTTCCATTGTCATGCTTGACGTGGTTGTCTGGTAAGCGCCGCTGTCCTCATGTATTGTTTTTCCCATTCTTTGCGCTGTGTATGCCCATGCTGACCTTGATCCGCGCTTCACGGAGCCCGAAGACAACTAATTACATACATCAGAAGGAGACAGTCATCATTTTTCGGCCATGTTATGAGAAGAGGGAAATGGAACATGTAATGACCACTGGAAAGATCTGTGGAAAGAGAGATAGAGGCAGACAACGAGAGCAGATTCTTGACAGTCTTGTTGCATGGCATGGAGGTGTATCAGCACACGAACTAATACATTCTGCAGGAGATCGCAGATTGTAGCGAGGCATATTCGCCCACGCCAGTCGGCAAGGCACTTGATGATGATGATACACTTCATATTTGGCCGAATAGTTTGTCCCGCTATTCATATTCGGCCGAATAGTAAAAATCACTATTCGGTACAGTCCTAGTATTTAGCACTTTTTGGAAAATTTAAACTTCTGTCCTTCACACAGAGTGACATGTGTCACCTGACTCTACAGGAGCATGTCACTGATTTTCTGCCCGATATGTCTGTCTTCTTGTATGTCTGTCTCCTTATTTGTCTGTATTTCTCTGTGTGTTACTCTCAGGGTATATAAGTGTACAACTGATTATTTTATCTATGTGATAATCTGTGTCTCTGCCTATTTTCTTATGTGTCTGTCGGTCTGTCAGCCTATCTGTTTGTCTTTCTCTGTTGCTCTCACAGAAAATGGATGTAGACTGGATTATTAAAAACTTTTCTGCTCTTGTCCCCAGAGGGCGCTTCTGTGATGTTTCTTTAGCGGCTTGTGGAGGAGGCAAGCACCATGAGATTCCTCAAATGCCAGCTTGTTCGTGTGACAAACACTTACGGCCTATGTAGCTTGAACATGCCAGCTTGTGTGCAACATGTGTTTCAGTGGCTGACTTGTCCAGCCAGGCAGAGGAGCCCTAGCTGTGTGGCCCAGGCTAGCAGCTGGCCTGCCACCAGACACAGACCCCAACCACCCCAGGGACCCACCCGAGCTACAGGCTCTCAGTCTCTGGCTGGAGTGGAGGCAGAAAGCAAACTACAGCACAGTTATCAGTGTCATGGCGCAGATGTTGATCACACCAGATCTGTCACAACCACCTATCTGGTGCAGCCAGCGGCACAGCTTGACCTGTGTTTAGGCTCCTCTCACGGCATACACCCTCTATCTGTTGTTTGCAGAAGACACTTGTTGCCACTGACCCGCAGTGTTGCCTCCTTGACTCCTGATGTCTTGGGCAAGGGTACAAACAGTTCTGCCAGCTTCATGCAATTCTTGAGGTTCTACAGAGGTCAGACAAGGTTAACACCTTTACAGCATAACAGCAGACGCAATACAGACATGGAAGAAAGTTCTGAGAACATCAGCGATGACACAGACCTTACTTCTGACAGTGACACTGACATGTCATACAAACTGTCAGGTGTCAGAAATGATGACAGTCATGCCATAAATGATATGGATCTTGATGCCTGGCAAGAAAGACAAGACATCACAGACAGCCAAGGTAATCAATATTTTCTCTGGGGTAAGATGGTGCTTCATGTATTTTTTCCTTATCAAAAACCATCTGCCTTAAATTCTCAGTAAAAACCTGAATTTACTTCAGCCATTTCCCTTGATGTTAAGCATCATATGTCTGTGAGGTCAGTACAGAATCTGTTGAGTCAAAAACCTGCCTGTTTGTCTCACTAATTACCATGATGTATTTAATGATCTTGCCTTTCTGACAGAAACAAGAAGTGAGCTGGTTCAACGAAAGTCTGCAGCTGAGATGTCATTGGTCGAGCTGTCTCGAACATCGTTGAATATTGTGCCATATGTGGCCAGATCAGTGACGCTGCAAAACCTGGTCAGACTTGGTGTCAATCTCAGCAAGGTACAAAAAGTAAGTTGGCTGTGTATTCTTGTGTGTTTTGGCAGTAGGGAATGGGGAGGGGGGGAGGGGTCTTCAGTGGGTAATTTCTTTGCCGGTGGGAAGTATGTCTTTTTTCAACCACAAACTTCACAAATATCAGGCAGAAATTGTTACAATATTCACCCACAGACCACAAATATCAGTCAGAAATTATTACAATATTCACCCACAGACTTCACAAATGTCAAGCAGAAATCATTACAATTTTCACCCACAAACGTCACAATATCAAGCAGAAATCATTACAGTATTTACCCAAAAACTTCACAAATAGCAGGCAGAAATCATTACAGTATTTACCCACAAACTTCACAAATATCAAGCAGAAATCATTACAGTATTTACTCACAAACTTCACAAATATCAAGCAGAAATCATTACAGTATTTACCCACAAACTTCACAAACATCAAGCAGAAATCATTACAGTATTTACTCACAAACTTCACAAATATCAAGCAGAAATCATTACAGTATTTACCCACTAACTTCACAAAAATCAAGCAGAAATCATTGCAGTATTTACCCACAAACTTCACAAATATCAAGCAGAAATCATTACAGTATTTACTCACAAACTTCACAAATATCAAGCAGAAATCATTACAGTATTTACCCACAAACTTCACAAACATCAAGCAGAAATCATTACAGTATTTACCCACAAACTTCACAAATATCAAGCAGAAATCATTACAGTATTTACCCACAAACTTCATAAATAGCAGGCAGAAATCCTGATGATGTTCACGCTGTCATCCATCTGTTACATAGCTAATTTGTGGTCTGTTCTATTGTACTGCACTAGGTGGCGGGTGTGGCGGAGTATCTGATCAAGGCAGACTTTCAGCAGCACATTGTGCCCCAGCTCCAGTTCCTGGCTCTTGTTGGTGTTGAAGCAAATTTTGTTGGACACATTTACACAGCCAACCCTTTGTTGTTTCTGGAGTCAGTGGAGGATTTAGAGCTGCGTGTGGGGTAAGTGGATTTATGGAGTCAGTGAATTTAGAGCTGCGTGTGGGGTAAGTAGATTTATGGAGTCAGTGAATTAAAAGCTGCGTGTGGGGTAAGTAGATTTATGGAGTCAGTGAATTTAGAGCTGCGTGTGGGGTAAGTAGATTTATGGAGTCAGTGAATTTAGAGTTGCGTGTGGGGTAAGTAGATTTATGGAGTCAGTGGAATTTAGAGCTGCGTGTGGGGTAAGTAGATTTATTAAGTCAGTGGAATTTAGATCTGTTAGTGAGGTAAGTAGATTTATGGAGTCATTTGAAGATTTAGAGCTGCTTTTGGGTAAATGGAGTGTGTGGAGGGTTTATAGTGATATTTTATGGAGCTACTGAAATATTTAGAAATGCATTTGTTTGTGTGGAATGAGTAGATTAATGAGTCAGGGAAGTGTTTAGAGCTAACAGTAAGGTTAGTAGATTTATGGAGTCATTGCAAGATTTAGAGCTGCTTGTGTGTGGTAAATATATTTATGGAGTCATAGGCATGTGTGGGATAAGTAGATTTATGGAGTCAATAGGCATGTGTGGGATAAGTAGATTTATGGAGTCAATAGGCATGTGTGGGGTCAGTAGATTTATGGAGTCACTAGGCATGAGTGGGGTAAGTAGAATTATGGAGTCACTAGGCATGTGTGGGGTAAGTAGATTTATGGAGTCACTAGGCATGTGTGGGGTAAATATATTTATGGAGTCACTAGGCATGTGTGGGGTAAGTAGATTTATGGAGTCACTAGGCATGTGTGGGGTAAGTAGATTTATGGAGTCACTAGGCATGTGTGGGGTAAGTAGATTTATGGAGTCACTTGGCATGTGTGGGGTAAATATATTTATGGAGTCACTAGGCATGTGTGGGGTGAGTAGATTTATGGAGTCACTAGGCATGTGTGGGGTAAGTAGATTTATGGAGTCACTAGGCATGTGTGGGGTAAGTAGAGTTATTGAGATACTAGGCATGTGTGGGGTAAGCATATTTGCTGTTTTAAGAGTGGTAGGAATAAATTATTGTGTTAGGAGCTTTTTTTTTTTAATTGGTGTGTGCAAATATAGTGGGACAAGTACAGTAGTGGATGTCTTGTTTTCTTGCCAATAGTGTCTAGATTGTTTACATAAATCTTTTGTCAGTTTTTCATGTGATAGTATACTTCTCTCACACACATGCACTTCCTCAGTATCTCTCACACACACATGCACTGCCTCGTATCTCTCTCACACACATGCACTGCCTCGTATCTCTCTCACACACATGCACTTCCTCAGTATCTCTCTCACACACATGCACTGCCTCGTATCTCTCTCACACACATGCACTGCCTCGTATCTCTCTCACACACATGCACTTCCTCAGTATCTCTCTCACACACATGCACTGCGTCGTATCTCTCTCACACACATGCACTGCCTCAGTATCTCTCACACACATGCACTGCCTCAGTATCTCTCACACACATGTACTGTCTTGTATCTCTCTCACACACATGCACTGCCTCAGTATCTCTCACACACATGCACTGTCTCGTATCTATCTCACACACATGCACTGCCTCAGTATCTCATACACTCACCTGCACTGCCTCAGTATCTATCTCACACACATGCACTGCCTCAGCGTCTCTCCTTCTGTCATAAACATGTACTGTTTTCTTTTGTCACACACATGTACTGTCTCATAGCGCATGCACATACATACACATGCACATACATACACACATACATACACACATACATGCACACATACATACACACATACATGCAGTGTCTCCCCACACACAAGCACACCATTCAACCTGCCAGGTTTCTGTGCTTGCAGTTATCTAGTACACAAGAACTTTAGTCTGCGGGAAGTGGCCGCTCTGGTGACTAAAGATCCTATTGTCTTACTCATGGACCCCGTCGTTTTGGATGAGAAGCTGGCATTTTTACAGAATCTCTTCGACTTGACAGGTGAGCTACTTTCTGATTGACAGCATTTTTACACAATCTCTTCAACTTGACAGTGAGCTACTTTCTGATTGACAGCATTTTTACACAATCTCTTTAACTTGACAGTGAGCTACTTTCTGATTGACAGCATTTTTACACAATCTCTTTAACTTGACAGTGAGCTACTTTCTGATTGACAGCATTTTTACACAATCTCTTCAACTTGACAGTGAGCTACTGTCTAACTGACAGCATTTTTACACAATCTCTTCGACTTGACAGAGGAGCAACTCTCTGACATGACAACTGTCTGTCAGTCTGTGTGTTGGTCTGCTGGCATTATTGTACAACTTGGAAGCTCTACTTCTGTGATCAGTATATTGATATAATGAGGGTGTACGGCACAGGAAGTGAATGTGCATGATCTGACAAAGATGTCAGTAGCAGCTACCTGGGACATATATTGTCAGAGCCTAGTGACACCCTAGCAGTGTTGGTGTCTTGACATGGAAGCATTTAACCTGGTCTCTGCACAGCCTGCCCAGTTTGCCCAAGTCATCAGCCAGTCAGTATGCTACAGTTTTCTCCTGAAGCTTGCCGGAAGTGTTCTCAATAATGTTAACTAATTTTGCAGCTTCAGATCTTTGAATAGTCTTTATTTGGTTTCAGCAGCTGTAGTAGGTAGCTGTAGCAGGTAGCTGTGTAGCCATTCCTCTTTGGTCTGACCACTTTGGATACTGAAAGCATATGGGGGAGAGGAGGATGCAAATGTGACAACCTATGTCACACTGTGAGGCTGAATGTTTATTTGTCCCTTCACATCTACTTCACACTGTGAGGCTGAATGTTTATTTGTCCCTTCACATCTACTTCACAATGTGGGACTGGATGTTTACTTGTCCCTTCACATCTTACTTTATTTACTCTGTGGGACTGGATGTTTGTCCTTTCACATCGTACTTTATTTACTCTGTGGGACTGGATGTTTGTCCTTTCACATCTTACTTTATTTACTCTGTGGGACTGGATGTTTGTCCTTTCACATCTTACTTTATTTACTCTGTGAGACTGGATGTTTGTCCTTTCACATCTTACTTTATTAACACTGTGGGACTGGATGTTTGTCCTTTCACATCTTACTTTATTTACTCTGTGTGGGACTGTGGGAATGGATGTTTGTCCTTTCACATCTTACTTTATTTTTATTTACTCTGTGGGACTGGATGTTTGTCCTTTCACATCTGTACTGGATGTTTGTTTATTTACTCTGTGGGACTGGATGTTTGTCCTTTCACATCTTACTTTATTTACTCTGTGGGACTGGATGTTTGTCCTTTCACATCTTACTTTATTTACTCTGTGGGACTGGATGTTTGTCCTTTCACATCTTACTTTATTTACTCTGTGGGACTGGATGTTTGTCCTTTCACATCTTACTTTATTTACTCTGTGGGACTGGATGTTTGTCCTTTCACATCTTACTTTACCCTGTGGGACTGGATGTTTGTCCTTTCACATCTTACTTTATTTACTCTGTGGGACTGGATGTTTGTCCTTTCACATCTTACTTTATTTACTCTGTGGGACTGGATGTTTGTCCTTTCAATCTTACTTTACCCTGTGAGACTCGATGTTTGTCCTTTCACATCTTACTTTATTTACTCTGTGGGACTGGATGTTTGTCCTTTCACATCTTACTTTATTTACCCTGTGGGACTGGATGTTTGTCCTTTCACATCTTACTTTATTTACTCTGTGGGACTGGATGTTTGTCCTTTCACATCTTACTTTATTTACTCTGTGGGACTGGATGTTTGTCCTTTCAATCTTACTTTACCCTGTGAGACTCGATGTTTGTCCTTTCACATCTTACTTTATTTACTCTGTGGGACTGGATGTTTGTCCTTTCACATCTTACTTTATTTACCCTGTGGGACTGGATGTTTGTCCTTTCACATCTTACTTTATTTACTCTGTGGGACTGGATGTTTGTCCTTTCACATCTTACTTTATTTACTCTGTGGGACTGGATGTTTGTCCTTTCACATCTTACTTTATTTACTCTGTGGGACTGGATGTTTGTCCTTTCACATCTTACTTTATTACTCTGTGGGACTGTGTTTTGTCCTTTCACATCTTACTTTACCTGTGGGACTGGATGTTTGTCCTTTCACATCTTACTTTACCCTGTGGGACTGGATGTTTGTCCTTTCACATCTTACTTTATTTACTCTGTGGGACTGGATGTTTGTCCTTTCACATCTTACTTTACACTGTGGGACTGGATGTTTGTCCTTTCACATCTTACTTTATTTACTCTGTGGGACTGGATGTTTGTCCTTTCACACCTGACTTTATTTACACTGTGGGACTGGATGTTTGTCCTTTCACATCTTACTTTCTTGGGACTTTACTTTACCTGTGGGGACTGGATGTTTGTCCTTTCACATCTTCACATGTTTGTCCTTTCACATCTTACTTTACCCTGGGACTGGATGTTTGTCCTTTCACATCTTACTTTATTACCTGTGGGGGACTGGATGTTTGTCCTTTCACATCTTACTTTACACTGTGGGACTGGTTTGTTTGTTTCACTCTTACTTTATTTACACTGTGGGACTGGATGTTTGTCCTTTTACATCTTGTATACACTGGGACTGATGTTTGTCCTTTCACATCTTACTTTACACTGTGGGACTGTTTGATGTTTGTCCTTTCACATGTTGTCCTTTCACATTTACTTTACTCTGTGGAGACTGGTGTTTGTCCTTTCACAGAGACTTTACTTTACACTGTGGGACTGGATGTTTGTCCTTTCACATCTTACTTTATTTACTGTTGACTGGATAAGTTTGTCCTTTCACATCATGCTGTGAGATATTCTCAGACCTCAGACATCTCTATTGTCAGATATCTCTCATTGACTGTCCAGCACATACCTCAGACATCTCTATTGTCAGATATCTCTCATTGACAGTCTAGCACATACCTCAGACATCTCTCATTGACAGTCTAGCATATACCTCAGTCATCTCTCATTGACAGTCTAGCACATACCTCAGACATCTCTCATTGACAGTCTAGCATATACCTCAGACATCTCTCATTGACAGTCTAGCATATACCTCAGACATCTCTCATTGACTGTCCAGCACTTGAATGAGTATGAATTATTAATTGCATATTTTCTCATTGTGTTGATCATTGCTATTTGTCAATACACAAATGGAACTTTTAAAGAGAGTTCTCGTCCCGCTACATTTGGAAGCTTCAGCATTCATCATGTTGTGTTACTCTTGGCCAGTGGCATGTTAAGTGTTGATGCCATTTTTTACATTGCGACGCCCCTAGTCACCTTTGGTACGCCGCACATCACCACTCAGCCTTTAGAGCACGCCACACCGTAGGCACAAGCATACGCCCGTCACAACTGTCTAGCATATACCTCAGACATCTCTCATTGACTGTCTAGCATATACCTCAGACATCTCTCATTGACTGTCTTGCACATACCTCTGACATCTCTCATTGACAGTCTAGCATATACCTCAGACATCTCTCATTGACAGTCTAGCACATACCCCAGACATCTCTCATTGACAGTCTAGCATATACCTCAGACATCTCTCATTGACAGTCTAGCACATACCTCAGACATCTCTCATTGACAGTCTAGCATATACCTCAGACATCTCTCATTGACAGTCTAGCACATACCTCAGACATCTCTCATTGACAGTCTAGCATATACCTCAGACATCTCTCATTGACTGTCTTGCACATTTGTTTCTCATTATATTGATAAAACGGCACAGGCCACTGCAATCTGCCAGCATAGACGTTCTCTAGTTTACCTCAGCTGTGTGTACAAATGTTTATCTCAGCTGTGTGTACAAATGTTTATCTTAGCTGTGTGTACACATGTTTACCTCAGAAGTGTGTACAGTGTTTATCTCAACTATATGTTCACTTATTTTTTAAAGCAATGTGTACAAATGTTTATCTCAGCTGGATGTGTACAGTGTTAATCTCAACTGTATGTGTACAGTGTTTATCTCAACTGTATGTGTACAGTGTTTATCTCAACTGTATGTGTACAGTGTTTATCTCAACTATATGTTCACATGTTTTTCAAAGCTATGTGTACAAATGTTTATCTCAGCTGTATGTGTACAGTGTTTATC